TGTAGCTAGCAATTGAGTCCTCTGGCTTGGTCAGTTCAGCTGTCCTCAATGTGCATTCTATTCAGTGCCAATGGAAGGCCAGGGACATATGGCGGTTGCCGCACATGTGGAGATGGTGGCCCAGCCACGGCCAGTGGACGAGTGTGTGTCACTTACTTACCAGCCAGTTGAACCTCCCCAGTATTGATGCATAGATGGGCAGGAGAAGATTACCAGGACGAGACCAGGAGGTATTAGGTGGAGGAGAGATTATTAGCATATATGAATGTCCACGTAGGGGGGCACTAATTCGCATCAGTGGTACAGTACCTTTGTTAGGTACGTGCATCATGTATTAGTTCCTACACTACTCTCACTAGTTGGTTTGCACCTTTTTCTTATCAGCCTGGCTTATCAGCCATGGAACAATATTTTTCTCTTACAGTAAATCAATTTCTCGATGTGATTCCCATATATATTTCCACAGCCCCCACCGCACACGACAGATGGCCGTGTCAGAGCTGGTAGATCTCGGTGTCGTGCAATGCCCCCAGTAGTTTTTACCGTGTGGATTCGTTCTCATGTTCCACTAGCAAATGTCTACTTTATACCCACATAAGAAATAGATCAGCTGAGACCTATTTTTTCCATTCCTGTACCATGACGATGAGTGATGGCAATGGATGGTTTTTCCTTGTGCATTACAATTCGCAACCCTTTCTTCTAGAGAAATAGAGTGTCACTATAGCAAACAATTCGGATAATTCCTACTATTTCCATGCTTAAAAAGCAGCATTTGTTATCTGCAGCTTGATGAGTTGTTGGGCACTGGCCTACATTTTTTAATGAAACAGGAGGGGCAAAGGCTTTACTACAATTATTATTAAAGAAAGCAGAAAGTATTTTCACCAGGGAATACAGACAATTTACAATGAAAGGGAAATATTTGCTTGTGGCGAATTTACAATGAAAGGGTGCAACCGTAGGTTGCTCATTGTTTAAGATGGTACTGTTCCTTGGCGATCATATGCTCCAGCTCGTCAGAATGATCACTTCCATGAAAAATGGAACTCGTTGGTTAACGTTCTTAAGTTCTGAACCTGTGCGATGCCTGCTGGATTCAGCTCAGCATCTTGTCACTGCAACAAATAATTCAATGACTTTTAGTATACATGATGAAAGACAATCAGATTCTCTGGTGGCCGTACTCGAGGATTCCGAATCACCAGGACAGGAAACGAAAAGCAAAGTGAAAGGATTAAAGGAAGAAGGGAGGCACACTAGCAGTTGCTCTTCTCTGTGTGGGTCAGTCCTCACCCCTCACATGATACGATCATATTGTGTACAGGGTACATATAAGGTCTGTTTGGTTGGATCTTAACCAGGCTAAAGAAAGCTAACTTCGTGATGTTTGGTTGCTGTTTCGAGTCCGAAGCCAGGCTCAAGAGAGCCACCAACCACCCTTAGCCAGGCTCCAGAAGAACGCATGCAGTGGTTGTTTTTTTGAGGCAGGCTTGGCTTAGCACCGGCACACCGGTGGGCTGTTCTTCCACCTCCCGTCTCACCTCCGCTCACCCTCCAAAGTCACCGACGGCGAGCTCCGCTCTGCTCCAACTCCGGCAGTCCGCATCTGCTTCTCCTCCTCCGGTGGCCCACATCTGCTCCTCCGGCGCTCCTCCCACCCGCGAACTCACCAGGCAGGGGCCCTACAGCAGCGAGATCGATCTTGACCTCCGGCTGCGCGAGCTGTATGGGTTGGCGAGCATCTCCGGCGGCGGTGCAGACTGGACGAGGATGCTGCTCGGCAAGTTCGCTGGTGGGAGTTCCAGGATGCGGCCCACCGCCAGGAACGACATCTTTCAACGGCATGCTGCTCGGCGAGTTCGCGGGTGGGAGCTCCAGGATGCGGGCCACCACCAGGAACAGCATCCTTCAACGGCATGCTGGCCCGCATCTGCTCCTCCGGTGTCTGGAAATCCTGCACGGTGAAGAACGTAGACGGCCCCGCCGGCAACTGCAGGTGGAACAGCGACCCGTGCGGCTCGCACTCGTCCGTGAGGTCCGAGCGGACGCATGCCACCTCCTCGAGCGGTGGACTCCGCCGTTCGGTCGGCTTGATTTTGCTGGCCAGGTACCATGACAGAAATCCAAGCCCCGCAAAATAAGCTTGAGGAGGACATAAGACAGCCAGCCAATCTATAAGCGAGAGGATATTGCAATTTGCAAACTGGGGAAATGGACAATCCGTGGCAAACTGCGTGCATTCAGATTTCAGAGAATGGCTAGCTTTCAGCATTTACCTGAATAATGCCCACTTGGGAAGCTCCTGTGGCCCTCTTCGATTACGCTCCGCTGTCCATGACACCTCCGGTGATGTTGTTGTACTTCTAAAATGGAATTAATGTTCAGGTAAATAAGCTAGTTACTTCAGAGTTACAACTTCTTCCAGCAACATTCCAGTTCTGAAACTAATGAACAGTTTCGAAGTGTCGACAGGAAGCAACAAGCAAGCTAGCTCTGAACCTCTGACGAATCTGTGTAATGAATTCTGACAGATCAAGTCATTGAGGATGCCCACCACTTATTTGATCAAATGCCGCAAAGGTAGTAACCTTACCAATTCAGATAAGAGGTGACCATCAAAATAAATCGGACAACCAAACAAGCCAGGCTTAGACAGTTTGTACAACCAAACAAGCAGGGGTTGCTCCAGTGACCTTTCACTTGCTGTAGTGTTCGGCTAGACTCTGTCAGGCTCCAGCTCTATGGTACAGTAACCAAGCAGCGACTTGTAGGATCGGAGCAACAAAATGTGGTTTCACAAAGTATTCCTGAATTAGCAGCTCTTGGGCCCTAATTCATAGTGGTAATTGAACACTCTGCCAACATTTACGTGGGCAGGGGCTGCATAGTGTAGCCTTATTTCGTGACTAAGCAGCGGAGGTCAACGATATTCGCACCATGCACCGTTTACATGTAATCAGTAAGGAAAATGCAATATCCTGATGATTGAATAATTTTTTTTGTTTTTTTATTCGATTTACCGAGGTGGGCATCCAACCACCTCAGAAAAATATCCCATTTACTATGACCTTTGCAACGAGGCGGTTGCGATGCCCGCCTCGGTTAATCTTTTTGCCCGTCTCGGTAAACTTTTTCTGTAGTAGTGGTTTGCATACCTCCTAAGATATCAGTGCTTGCCCACACCTAGTATTGTATACTAGGGGCTTGCCGTCTATGCTGTAGCAAGCATGTGACCACTCACGTTTTTGCTAGAAATATGACAAAGACAGCAAGGACTGGTCCGTGAGAATGCCATATATGGAGGCACATGGGGAAGGACCATGGCCTGCATGGAGTTACCCTACCAGGGCAGTTTTTGCAAGGGGATCAAATGAGGATTAGAGGGAAGTGTGGGCTTCTCGATACTTCAACAAAAATACCGTCATCACTAGGATTTTGCATTCTGATCCCACCTGTCTTAGTTGTCATAGTTCATTGCATTGCTTGGCTGTGTTCTTGATATGATCCACTTCACTATAGGACGCGTACGTACACTGCAGAAAATCTTGTCCTAGATTTAGTATTTACAGACGCGATTCCCCCTTGACTTTTGGGGCTCCAATTATGTTCACACTTGTAAGTGTGCACATGGTGAGCACTAAATTAACCAATTAAAATTGTTCCTTGACACTCTGCCCTGTTAACACGCTACATTGAGTACTCTGTGGCTGATACTGCCATATACTGGCCCTGCAGTGTGTGTAAATACACTACTGCAAGTCTGCTACTTGAGATAACTTATTGCTGTAGCTAGTCCAATGACTAATAAACTTTTAAGAACGATCGTTTGTTGGAGAAATATATTATTCAGAACTAATGCGACCATTGCCTCAGTGAATCTTAACTAGTTTAAAATTTATCAATCAATAGTATTGATGTTCAGCAATTAATCAATAAAACATTAAATTTATTCTCTCTCCTCCCTCTCCTTTCCTCTGAAATAGCTGACCTTGATAGCTTCATGGTGTTCGAAAATTCACTCCTTTTGATGTTCCATGACCAGGGATACCATAACATAATGTCTATTGTGGATCCTTCTTAGGATTGGTCGTTTTACTGAAATAAGTTTACTTATTTTCATGCATGTCTGTCTGTTAAAGTTGTCCAAGTACATGTTTTACTATAAATTGAGTTATCCAAAGGGAAAAAAATACTAATAACAGGTATGTCCATTACGCATGTATTGCACATCTGGTCTTCCTAGCGATATAACTGTGGTAGTCGGGGAGCAGTCTTTCCATCTTCACAAGGTAATCTTTCACCATAATGATTCATGCAGCTGTTTCTTTGTTTGACACCATTTTTCATTTTTCATGCATGCAACTGGTTTACTAATTTCATTGATTTTGGGTGGCTATTTCAGTTCCCTCTGTTGTAAAAAAAATGGTCTGTTGGAGAAGCGTATAGTATCCTGGAGAAAATCGATAAAGGGGAAGACACAGTTGGGTCATTGATCTATCTGATATTCCTGGTGGAGCAAAGGCTTTTAAACTAGCTGCTATGTTTTGGTATGGTGTAAAGTTTGAAATTAGGGAATGCATCAAGGTGTGGTGTGTGTGTATCACTAACGCATTTATCAATAAGAAGAAAGGTGCTCTTTGGTTCAGTGAGTGATAATGCAATGGGAAATGGAATCAGATAATAGTGTAATCGAAGCTAGGGATGCTTGGTTGCCAGCTAGCTTTATATGGAAATGGTTACAGACCGTAGGAAGCAAACAGGTGCAAAGGTAATGTATACGTTACATTTTTGCAAACCAAACAGCCCGAAAGATGCATAGAGTTTGTTCTGTGCTAGCTTTATCAAATTAAACACATGTATTATATCCGAACTTCATCATTCCGTACAACTTGATTCTGCACAAAAGTATAAGAGGCCTCTAGTGCCATATATTATTATACATAGTTTGGACTCCCCTTCAAGGGCATCAATACAATACAATACAATAATATAACATATTATTCTTCGGATTCGGAATCCTCATCATCATCAGAAGAAGAATCTTCGTGTTTATCTTCTCTGGCTTCCTCAGGTTCGTCTCCTGGTCTCTCATGTTGCGGGGGACATTGGGGGTACCAAGGGCACACGGGGGGCCATGATGGGCCGTAGTATGGAGGGCACACGGGGGGGTATGATGGGTGGTAGTATGGAGGGCACACGGGACAGCACGGAGGCGGAGCCCGAAGCGGTGGCTTCGCGTCATCCTTCTTCTTCTCCTCCTCCTCCTTCTTAGGCTTCGCAGCAACGAAGGAGATGCTCTTTGCTTTTTCTCCAATGCAAAACGGGCCAGCATGTTGGATAAGCATCCACAGCACGGTGGTGAGGTCGCCACCGGCGCTGAGCTGCTTGGCATGGGCCTCCCTGCTGCACCGGACGGCCGCGTACACCAGCTTATCCACCCACACATTGAAGATGAACTCCAGCATCTCATCTGATACCCGCGGGGCAGCTCGGCTTTCTACTGTAGTAGGTCGCTTGTCGCCTGATAGGCAAAAATAAAGGTCTTGTGCATGCAGGAGAAGTTGCGTACCTTCGTTGCCTTCAATTTTATCCTCAGACGGCACATTCTCGTCGTCCTCCACGATCCTTACGCGTCGCAGGATCATGGCAAGCTTTTCTTTGTTATTCATGATTGATTTTTCTCGATCGGGTAGTATCTTACTACGCTGACCCCCATCCCATATTTCAACCAATTTCTTGCGGGTTACCTGCAACTGGCTGTGGAGGACAAGGCCAGGTAGCATTTGTCGGCGAACAGCAACAAGGAACATCATGTATTCCGACATCACCCCAATTGCCGACGCAAGTCTTCTTCCGTCCGTGAGGACCACCAGGACCATGCAGGTGGCGATATGCCACAAGATGACGTCCTCCTCGAATTCCTCGCCGAAAAGATGCGACAAGAGGACGTCCTCCTCGAATTTCTTTTTGACTTGCTCAGGTGCACAGCTGAAGGCCTTGTGGCCGTGCTTTTTAATTTCTTTTGACTTGCTCGTCCTTTTTTAATTTCTTTTTGACTTGCTCAGGTGCACAGCTGAAGGCCTTGTGGCCCCAGCGTGTCCTGATGTCCAACCTTGTGTACATCTTCTTCTTCTTCTCCTCGTCCTTCTCCTGAGTATTAATAATGGCCTGCTGCAATATTTCCGTCACTCGCTCGAACAGCACTTTCTTTACGCATTGAGGAAGCTTAGACAGATACCGCAACTCCTTGGGTCTGTCGTCTCCAGGCATGGACACCGGCCACCACTCTGGACAAGTCGTAGGGGTGGCAGTGCACTCAGTGCCGGTCCTGGGATTGTTGACGCCTAGAGCCAAACTCAAACTCAGGCCCTCTTAATATAAAAATCATATCAATAGTACTAAATTTATAATAGATATTCTCTGACTCATTAATTCATTTACTTCTATAAGAGTGGGTTTTAAGGATCTCCTCTTGAGGAGCTATTCTATCATAACTGGTTTGGCAAAAAAAATATGTTTCATATAGATTTCTTAGCTTGTATGACTCTTAAAAGATTTATAATGGATACTCTCTGACTCATTAATTCATTTACTTATTTCTTCTTACTCTTTTTGGTCTCATTTTCTCATTTCTGGAAGACTATTTTTGACATAACATGGTGGTGTTGAAATTTAATAAACAGACAAAAGAAGCAACTGAAACAAAGTATAATGAATAAATATAGATTGTTATTACGGGCTGCTACTTTCTAGCACTAGCAGCTACTAGCTTTCAAGGTGGATGTCAATACGTATATACATCGTACATACCTGGGCACCCTTGATCTGGGGGGCCTGGAGCGGCTGCCCCGTTTGCCCCCCTCCAGGGCCGGGCCTGAGTGCACTCGTCCAGCAAGTTGTACCGGCCGATGGTGCCCGACCACCGCCTGTGGCTGACCGGATCGCGGCAGATTAGCTGCAACGGGTCCAGGCGGACGACGATGCGGTGGATGCTGCACCACCATCTTCTTCCGGCGGCCTGGAAGTAGGCGTACGCCCATGTCGACCCGAGGGCCCTCATCAGCCATGCCACATCCATGAGGAAGGTAATGGCCAGCAAGGCGTAGGTGATCCCGACAAAGGATCCCCTGACCCGGTGGCCATCATCGCCCTGCTGCTGCTTATCAGGATGATGCCAGAAGCAGAAGAGAAATGCGGCAGCAGCAGTGAAGAGGGGCGACAACAAGCGGATGAGGTAGTAGTGCCAGGTGTGTGCCAGGATCGCCTTGGTGTAGAGGAACTCGTAGATGAGAGACAGCTCCATCTCGGCCACCTTGCACATGCTCTCCCAGTCCCACTCCGAGAGTATCATCTCGCTGGCTTCCTGCCTTGGTGAAATAGAAGCTGGTTCGACAGAAGAATCGACCAGGGCATGGCGCCAGATGGGGAACAGATCCTGAGCAAGGAGCAGCGCTTCTCCGTCGCGGAGCGACAGCCCCTGCCTCTTCGTCCTCTTGATTCTGCATTTCAGCATCTTAAAGTCGTCGTCCTTGCAGCTGCTTGACGAGGCGTCCTCCTGCATGCTGTCCAAGTTGGCTTTCCGTAGGGCGTAAGCCCTCTCCACGTACCTGACGACGCCGGCGACGAGCATGACGACGGACGCCGCGAGCAGCAAAGCCCAGCTGCGGCCGCCGCGATGTGTGTTGTTGTAGATGGTATAAATGACCACCAGAATCCGAACGCCTATCTCAAGCCATTTGCGGTTGGAGATCTTGTTGTCCTCCAGAGCGTAGGCGGTCAGGTTGTCCGGGCCGCCCAGGTGCAGCAGGAGGAACGGGGCCCAGAACGCGACCACCTGCTTCTCCTCCTCCGACGCATCGGAGCCGCAGAGGACAGGCTGCCGAGTGCGCTCGTCGCCGCTGCCTCAGCGACCTGGTACGCAAGCCAGACGAACAACTTAGCCACCTCGCCTAGTAACGCCCACAACCAGCGGGACGCCGAGCGCCGCCGTGTCCCGGACAGGATGCCGACGACAAGATTTGCCCCTAAGCTCGAGACGACAGTGATCCGGAACCCCCATTCGCTCCACCACGGCACCGACTGTGCCAAAATCATGGTCAGCATCATTCCGAGCCAGAACATGGTCGATCCACCAGAGCGGGCGGCCTTCCAATTAAGCTGCCTGCGACCTGCTGCACCCATATATATCAAACTACAGCATGAGACCTGCTGCATTGACTTTCTCCTTATTATTATCAGTGAAAAGATATACATGTATCTATATGCATATACCGTGTGGCCGGGCCGGCTGCTTCCCCAGATCAATCAGTCAATATATGCAACTGATAGTATATCTACATTCGTTTTGTAATAATATACTACAATAATAACAGGCTATCGTTTAGTCGATGCAACTGATAGTATATCTACATTCATTTTGTAATAATATACTACAATAATAACAGGCTATCGTGTAGTCGATGCAACTGATAGTATAAAAGTTGACATGTCATGTAAACACAAATTAAATGTGATATAGCCCACTCGTTACATATATATATATATATATATATAGACACACACAGAGAGACAACCAAGATTCGGAACGGTTGGAGTAATACCGTTAAAAAAAAACACATATAGCATCATGGAGACGTTTCTATCATGGGCGGCCCAAAGCCTGTTCAAGGATTCCTGTTTTAAATACTATACAACTAGTAGAGACACCAGTAGAGAAACGACCTTTGATCTCGCCTCAAAATTTGGCTTTAGTCCTGGTATTTCTTGTGCCCGGGAGTAGAGAGACCTTTAGCCCGGTTTGTAGCTCCAACCGGGACTAAAGGTCCCTGCCCAACGGCTACTGCGGCAGGCTTTTACTGCAGGGGACCTTTAGTTTCAGTTGGAGCTACCAACCGGGACTAAAGGTTAACTTTTACTCCCGGTTGGTACCTCCAACCGGGAGTAAGTCTACTCCCGGCTGGAGGCTCCGTCCGGGACTAGAAAGGGACCTTTAGTCCCGGTTTCTGTCTCCAACTGGGACTACAGTTCTCCTCCTATATAGCCTTTCTTCCTCCCCGAGCCCGAGCCACTTCGAGCTCAGTGTTTTCTTGCTTCATCGCCGGCCTCTCTTCTTCCTCATCGCCGGTAATCATAAGATTTTCTTCGATTCCTCCATCGATTCTTCGGTTATAAAGGTTACCAACTTTATACTCTCATATTTTATCAGTAGCATATCTCATTTTGTAGACTAGATATATGTGGTTTTTTATGGTGAAATTTTTTTATTTGTAAGCCATTTAAGCTCAAAATCACTTTAAAGTTTGCATATTTGGATAAAGGAAGGTTAAAGTAGTTATTCAAAACTAGTATTAAGCTTTCATTTCTAGCATGCATAGCAAACTTCATGGTTTAGAGATATAGAGAATTTTAGAGTTTTTTTTAATTTTATTTGTTTATAAAATGAGAAATTTATATTATATTAAAAATGAGTATAGAGAGTAGATGGCAACTGCTTCTGGGTCCTCGGCCTCTCATCAGGTTCCAAAGTGACTGAGGCCGGACCTCCCTCTCATTGCATGCAGCAAGTGTGAGGAGAAGATTGTGATGGAGTACCGGGTGAGGAAGGAGTGTCCCAACAAAGGCCGTATCTTCTACAAGTGTTCGGATCACAATGTGAGTTATTTTGTCGCATTTGATGATTATGGATAATTTATACTTATTTTCATGATGATTGTGATTAAAGTTCTAATTTTTTGTTTTAATTTCAGTGGGATGACACTGGATGTTCAGGCTGGTACTGGGAGGAAGAGTATGTTGAACACGTGCAAAACTCTCTTGCACAGGCGGCTACGGCGGCTGATGAGGTAGTGATCCTGCGGAAAAAGCCCATAGATGTTGAACAAATGCATGATCTGTCTGTTTTAGTTGGGATTGGTCGTGAAATTCTTATGCTGCTGAAGTGCATTTTAGCTTTAGTTTTTCTACTGGTAGTTGGGATTGTCTACATTGTAGCGAGACTTTCATAAATTAATACCTTGTGTGGTGGCATGCATGTCATATAATTAACTAATTATGTTCTAGGTTTTAATATGGTATGTATGTCGTGTAATGCAGATGAGCCGGCATTGGATGTACAATGCTGATCGTCGCTCCCTAGAGCTCATTGAGGGTGTGCATTCTTTCTTATGTGTGGCCGAGGCAAACAAACGCGATGGTTTCATGTGCTGCCCATGTGCCATATGTAAGAATTTGAAGGAATATGCTAGCTCAAGGAGTCTTCATTCATACTTGTTGAAGTCAGGTTTCATGCCAAACTATATTTGTTGGACGAAGCACGGAAAAACTGGGGTTGTAATAGAAGAAGGTGAAGAAGAACAATGGGACGATGATGACATTATTGCTGAATATGGTGCCTTCAATGATACTGCAATGGGGGAAGCTAAAGAAGAGGTAGTGATAGAAGATGAGCCCGCTGATGATCTTGGCCAGGCCATTCGTGACGCACAAAGAGAATGCGAAAGTGAAAAGGAGAAGATCAAGTTCGAGCGCATGCTAGAGGATCACAAGAAATTGCTATACCCAACTTGTGATGCGGGACAGAAAAAGTTGGGTACCACACTAGAATTGCTGCAATGGAAGGCAAAGAATGGTGTATCTGACAAGGGATTTGGGGAGTTACTGAAAATCCAAAAGAAGATGCTTCCGAAGGATAACGAATTGCCCGTCACTACGTACGAAGCAAAACAGGTAGTCTACCCTTTGGGATTAGAAATCCAGAAGATACATGCATGTCCTAATGACTGCATCCTCTACCATGGTGAGGAGTACGAGAAGTTAGATGCATGCCCGGTACATCATGCATCACGGTATAAGATCAAGCGAGATGACCCTGGTGATGTTGAGGGCGAACGTCCCACGAAGAAAATCCCTACCAAGATTATGTGGTATGCTCCTATAATACCATGCTTGAAATGTCTGTTCAGAAACAAAGACCATGCAAACTTGTTGCGATGGCACAAAGAAGACCGTAAGGTAGACAATATGTTGAGACACCCTACCGATGGGTCCCAAAGGAGAGCAATCGATAGAGAATTCCGGAGTTTGCAAATGACGCAAGAAACTTAAAGTTTGCTTTAAGTACGGATGCTATGAATCCTTTCGGGGAGCAGAGCAGTAGTCATAGCACTTGGCCTATTACTCTATGTATCTACAACCTTCCTCCCTGATTATGCATGAAGCGTAAGTTTATTATGATGTCAGTGCTCATCCAAGGCCCAAGGCAACCTAGCAACGACATCGATGTGTACCTGAGGCCACTAGTTGAAGAACTTCTACTTTTGTGGAATAGACCAGGTGTGTGTGTGTGGATGAGCACAAATAGGAGCACTTTGACCTCACGAGCATTGTTGTTCATAACAATCAATGATTGGCCTGCTCTAAGTAATCTTTCAGGACAATCAAACAAGGGATATAATGCATGCATGCACTGTTTCGATGACATTAAAGGTATATTCTTGAAAAAATGTCGAAAGGTCATGTACCTTGGCCATCGTTGATTTCTTCCTGCGAATCACCCCTTAAGAAAGAAAGGCAAGCATTTTAAAGGTATGGCAGGCCACCAGACCAAGCCGGGCAACCGAACTGGAGAGGATGTACTCAATATGGTCAAGGATGTGAAAGTAGTATTTGGAAAGGCACATGGCAGTGAACCTGTTCCAAACGACGCTGACGGTCACGCACCCATGTGGAAGAAGAAGTCCATATTTTGGGAGCTACCCTATTGGCAAGTCCTAGAGGTCCGTAGCGCGATCGACGTGATGCACCTGACGAATAATCTTTGTGTGAACCTGCTAGGCTTCATGGGTGTGTATGGGAAGCCTAAGGACACACTTGAAGCACGACAGACCTGCGGTGTTTGAAAGAACGAGACAATCTACATCCAGAGAAGACAGATGATGGACGCCATTACTTAAGTCCTGCCAGCTACACTCTTAGCAAAGAAGAGAAGGAAAGCATGTTTGAATGCCTAGCAAGCATCAAGGTACCATTTGGATTCTCCTCGAATATAAAGGGTATAATAAATGTGCCAGAGAAGAAATTCCTAAACTTAAAGTCCCATGACTGCCACGTGCTCATGACATAATTGCTTCCAGTTGCATTAAGAGGAATTCTACCTCCAAATGTATGTCTAGCCACCATGAAGCTATGTGCATTCCTCAATGCAATTTCTCAGAAGGCAATCTATCCAATGGATCTAGCTAAACTACAGAATGATGTGGTTCAATGTCTTGTCAGTTTTGAGTTGGTGTTCCTTCCTTCCTTCTTTAATATCATGACACACCTTCTAGTTCACCTGGTCAAGGAGATTAGCATTCTAGGTCCTGTGTTCCTGCACAACATGTTCCCCTTTGAGAGGTTCATGGGAGTCCTAAAGAAATATGTTCACAACCGTCCTCGGCCAGAAGGAAGGATCGCCAAGGGCTATGGAACAGAGGAGGTCATTGAGTTTTGTGTTGACTTTATTCCTGACCTTAACCCGATTGGTGTTTCTGAATCGCGGCACGAGGGGAGACTAAGTGGAAAGGGGACACTAGGAAAGAAAACATATATTGGTACGCAGGACAATTATTTTAATAAAGCACACTACACAGTTCTACAAAACTCCTCCTTGGTGGATCCGTATATCGAGACAAATAAAGAGTTGCTCCGATCCGAGTTTTCAGGGAAGTCTGAAGCTTGGATTACGTGTCAGCACATGGAAACTTTCAGCGACTGGTTACGAAAAGAATATCAGGGTGATGAGAGTATTGATGAGCAACTGTATTTGTTGGCTAGGCAGCCATCATGACGTATCCTCACATACAAAGGGTACGAGATAAATGGGAATACATTTTACACAGTAGCCCAAGATAAAAGGAGCACCAACCAAAACAGTGATGTATTAGACCTATTGTGTAATAACTGTGACTTTAGATTTTTTTATCGTGTTTTCGTATTTTCTACGGTTTAAATGAATTTTTTGCTTGACGGTGGATTTCCCGTGGAGAATGTGTGATGAAAAACCAAATGATCAACGTTAATAAGATTTGAAAACTTATTTCCTGTCGAAAAGTAATAGTTTTAATAATTTTAATCAAGTAGTA